GCTTCGAAATTTTGATGAACAATTTTGCAAGATTTCTTTTCTGTGAGAAGTTTCATTCTTAAGAAAGCATGTACAGTTTTATCTAAAAATTGTGTGATTTCGTCACGACTTATACCGAAGATATTCACTATGGTTAAATCGGCAGCTCCGATTACAAACATTCCCAACTTATTCTCGTGATTCCTTGATCCCCTAAAACCTTCGCTGTCGAGGATCAAAACATATTCAGGACTTGAATTGCACTTTGTGGAATCGCTGACAGGAAGAAGACTGGCAAAAACACCGCGAGTACATCTACCAGCACTGACTGGAAATTCCAAACCAAACATTGTGTTTAACATCGTTGACTTACCTGAACTTTGAATTCCTAAAACAGAAATTACAAAAATTTTGGCGTTCTTTGTTTTACTCTCTAGTTCACGATATACTCCGTTGAACCACTTCAGTGAAATGTAAAAGGAATCACCATCCAGTATTTCAAGAGGTTGTCCTGAAAGCAACATGTCTGCTGCAGCACCTGCATAGTCGTATTTACATTCGTCAATCTCATAAAGCTGAGCAAGTTCTCTGATGATGTGTTCTAAACCAAACGAATGTGTTGTGATTGATTCTTCCAGCTGCTGTAAATGTTTCCACTCTTTCGCTTGTTTGTCTCGATTTTTGAGCAAAGCTAGACGATATTCTTGATGTAATTCTGGCAGGACCTGTAGGGACATCTTGTTTAATTCATGCTTCATTTTATTCAAAGTGCAATTTCGTTCCGTTGTGTTCATTTCTGCAATGGAATTTAGAAAATGAAAAATTCGTTCATCCAGGTGCGCAAACGATTGTTTTTGAGCCGTCTTTACTTCCTCAATGGCTTTGTAGATTTTGTCAATATCTCGTCCCATATGGTCGGTTCTACCATCGTGATTTGAAAAATATTTTTCGCGTTCCAGAGCAGCTAATGCTGGGACATGCATTTGTAATTTTAGACGAATTTTAGCTTCTTTGATCCCCATTCCTAGCCATGAATCTACGGTCTTCCTCAAAGTAGAATGCGATTCATTTCCATCAAGGTGGAAGCCAAATTCCTTTGCACAGGATTCAAGCTCAGTGAGTGGCGTTGGTTTTACTTCATGTATCTTCTGCTGAATATTTATTCGTATTTTTTGAATGAAATAATCTTCATCAAATTTCTTGGTGTTCGTTAACAGAGACATTTTTCCACGGTGGTTGATTTTCATATCGTCAAAATACTTCTCTACTGAGTCCAAAAATCTTATTTCATTATTGAATAGAAGAATGATATTTGCTGGAGAATATGTTGCCTCTTTCAAAATTTCTGTTATGGTTTGGTCTTGATAATTAGAAGGTAGCAAAATACATAAGACGGACGAGATCTTCAAAATAAGACGAAACTGCTTTTTAAAAACTCTGGCGTCTCCTCGAAGATTTGCAAAACAAATGTCTGTTTCTAATGTTTGTTTCTCGCGCCCTCCTGGAAGATACCAACTTAGTTCAACACAACCGTCAGCGATTTTTCTGTAAACTTCAGGATCTTTGACATCATTGTGGAAAAAAAAGTCGTGGTGCCCGTCGCTCATGATTTTGTTAATCAAGGATGACTTTGACATGGTAATATCGCCAATTCGAATGAAAGAAACCACTGGAAATGGATGTCCCGTAACGAACACTTCTTGTGTTCTTTTCTTGTCATTCGAGGCATCACTGCGACAAAACTTTGTGATGTTCTCCAAGGCCCTGAGCAAAATTGTGACTTTCTCTGTAGGCGCCTCGGGATCGGGCAAGAGAAACGGAACACTAAGTTGACATTCATCCAACTTTAAAGCTAAATGTTGTCGTAAACATTCATCGGAGAGGTGAAAAAGCAATAACAGTGCATCCATTGGGTTAACACGTTCTTCTTCATCATCGCTGTCATCAGAATCATGAACATATTTAGTTTTAGTTTTACTTGGGTTTAAAGGTTTAACTTTAAATTCTCGTGCACGATAATCACCTATCATTAATTTGTTTAAAATATATTTTGGTATTTGATCGGTGCATGTTAATTCTTTGTCGGTTAGTGTGTGATTATCAATTGTTCGTGCTTCTGTTAAAGTATATTTGGGGAGACACTGTACACTCGAATCGTCATCCGAAGAGTACAGACTTTCTGAGCTGCTGCTGTCTTTATTCTCATCCATTTCAGTCCCCAATTACACTTTGGCTAGACGTTTCTACCCATTAACGAGACTCTACACAATGAAAACTTATATATTTATTTACATATATATTAGAACAATCATGTATAAGAATAAAGAATCGGTCATCCACACAGCATATAGCTACTGTGCTATTTGGCAATTTCGTTTGGCTCGTTAACCGCATGCATGATTAGTATTGTTTATTTTTCATTTTTTGCCCCTGATCATTCTTTTTAGCTTTCTCACCCTTAATTATTCTGCGTAAAATTAAGACGCTATTACGTAAAAGTAGCTACAACAAATTTATTGAATAATTTACCATTAAACAATACCATTCTTCCGTGAATTTTGCGATAGTCGATCTGTCTTTCAACCCTAAAATATTTGGAAAAATCTTAGGGTTCCATTGGCGATGATTTCACTAATTCTTGCTATAGACTATATATAGTCCATTACTCGGCCATTTTATCTCTCTATATTTAAAGCATGGTGTAAAGTGCGCATATATTCTGCGCAACAACACATTCCATTAGTGGGGGAGCAACTTTTGGAATGATATGAGGACAGGCCTTCGAGTGTCTGTATTGAATGTCAACAGAACTTGTGACGATACTAAAACCGATTCTATCGACGATGATACAGACTACACACACACTTTGAATCTAAATTCGGTTTATTGTTCTTTCGAGTTTTTTGCTGCACCATACTAGCTGTATTTATTTAGTTGATTGTGTGAACCGGGGCTGTCACAAGTGCTAAAAATATAAACTGAGCGCTAATTAAAAATCTCCCATATTTTGGGAGATTTTGCCCTCCCATATGACCAGCCTTAACAAGGGCCGTGGAGCGTAGGTAGAAGAGCCTGGCTTGCGAGGTAGCGAGTATTAAAACGACCCATACGTCATGTAAAGATTATATAACAAACGTAAACAAACACTGTTATGCGTAGAATATATGCGTAGAACGGGACTTTACATCATCTTTAATTAAAGTTATAATATGAAAAATATTTAATATGAGCAGATATAATCGGAAAATATTTAGCACCAATGCTGCAGGGTTGATATATAAGCCTTATCCACTGGTATCTGGATTCGTTTGTATCCACCAACTTTTTGTTGTGCGTACGCTATCGTAAACTTTTGAAAACGTAGCAAATATTGGAAACTTGAAAACGCAACGAATCCGGATATGTGAAGATGCCTGTAGCCGTTATTTATTATTAAGACTTCAGTATTGATCAATTTATACTTAACTTTGATTCAATAGCAAGTTTTTATAACTAAATGCATGCAAGCTCTATAATATATAACGCAAGCAATGTTTAACACGGTATATAATATAGCATATATAGTGTTGATAGCAACTGATATTTACCTACTATTTTTTAATCTGGCCCAATTTACACCTCAAAGTTCATCGTGTATGGCGAATAAAAAAACTAGTAGAAACCCCAGCAAATTTTATACAGGGTTATAACAGCATATGAGGAGCGCAATCTTGGTCAAAAATGTAATGTTGCCGTGTGTTTATTTCAAATTGAATGATAATTTGAAATACTTTCAACAAAAGATATAAACGATCCATGACTTTGCTCATTGTTAATAGTGAAAGCTGTTTTACTTTGCCAACGGGGTATCGGTTTCCAGCAGAGAAAGGAATTAAATAAAGTGTTAATACGTTTGGGGAATAAAATTCGAATTTATATAAACTCTAGGCATTCTTAAAATCATCAAAATATTGATATATAAAGCTCATATAAAATATATATATCAAGGAAAGCAACATTATATTAGATAATTTGATAAAGGTATTATCGCGTAATCACAGGGCATTCAATCGCCTGGCACGAAGTTGAACCTAAACGGTCGCGTGACGTATGTACAGTGACCTCTAAGTAGACTGGACGATAACTCTATTGTGATTGGATGAAGCCTATTTGAATCCGATTTGCAGAGCTTTACCGTCCCGATGAAAACGTCGCTCTTAAGGCACTTTTAAGGAACGGTGGATCCAAATTCAATAAAAACACGTCCGAAAGCCGTACAAAAGGGCACCGTACTAAACCATTTATCGTTCCCATTGCCCTCGAGTTCTCGAGTTCATTAACGTGGCCCAATCTCGTTCCCTGAGCTTGCGATTTCTGAAACTCTGGCTCTGGAATAATCGAAATTAGAAGTGATTCTGATTGGTCGTTCACGCCCGTATGGAATGTTTTAATATAATTCATAAATTTGCCAGAAACCCGGCGGTTGCAATAAAGCAGTTATTTACTGTGTGCCTCTTTTTCACTAGGGGATTAAATTGGTTGCCGCGAAGTGACACGACAAACCAATTTCTGCCCTGTTGTTGGTTAAATGAATACAAGTCATTAAAAATTTCGCTATCCAGTGTATAATATTAAGTCAGAACTCAAGAAAATTACGTATATATAATTACGTATATCACAAGATAATACATAACATTAACAGTGCAAATGGAGTATATATTTGTATATTTAGAATTATAACGTCTTGAACTGGTTACATTATTATACTTATTATTTCTTAAACTAGACAACAACCATGCTATAGAAACGATTAAGATCATTTTTGGGAAAAGTAGAAATATCAGAGTGGTTTCGCGATATGTTGAAAATATATATGTTTTTTTCTAGCCTGCATGTAGGCTTGTACTGTATTTTCTTTCAATCTAACTTTGCCTTTAAGATTTTCTTGCAACAAAATTGCAGAGTAAAACGTTGAAAATGTTTTTTGGGTTATTTTTTTCAATCAAAGTCATTGAATTTGCTATCAAATGGCTCTATGATCTTGTCAGCAAAAACCTACAAAATCGAAAAACTCTTTGAAAAGAAGATATTCTGAAAATGATACACTTTCCACATCATTCGTCCAATCACACGATCAACAAATATGGACCAAGTGGCCACCTATTTTTGCCAGTGATGAGGCTTTTGGACATGCGTTAAATGAGCATTCTTTATAAGTTTGCAAAATCCTTGTATCCCCGTGATCATATTAGAGATTGAAGATGACGCTCCTTCACTTTAATCCTTTTTTGCTTTTATTGTTCATATACTTCTCGTATTTCGCGTTTTTCGTAGAAAACGTTTCCCATTATTGTCATTTCAGTGTTGTAGTTTGTTGTACTCCATCAAGTCCACTGTCCAGCAATGCAAGTTAATTTTATGCCTGGCTACCAACAGACAGTAATTTAGGTTATTTGACTTCGAAGAACCGGTAATTGCCGTTCTTCTAACGTCATAATGTATTTTGTAGTAATCCTTTAGAATCTCAAATCTCACGGCACAGCCACGTTGTCAATGTCTATGAAATCGCCTTGCAAGATCTAATTTCTATCCACAATTACTTTAGTTCAAGATGTTCTTCAATGCTTGATGATCATCGCCTTTCATTCCCTGTTAAACCTTTTGAGAATACAGTTCTAGTTGCATTGAGATTTGTTCTTGGCATTTTTTCTTTACTTTAAGATTTCTCGAAGATTAGCCCACCACTTGACAAAGATAGTTATAAAAAACTGAGTCCACATGTTCTATTTCGCGGATAATAATGTGTTTAGAAAATCATTTTCAGAATATTCTCTAACACGAACTTTAATTCTTAGGTTCCATGTTGTGATATTTAAAACGCGACACTGTCACTAAATTTCATAATATTTTCAAACAGGTACCAAATAATGATGATTCATTCATAGAGACTTTGAGAGAAAATTCAATGAAGTACATACAAATGGTTGATTATACTTACTGAAAAAATTGCAATTTTTCAACAGTCGACTTTCAACATACTGCGCATGCCATGATGTATGAGATGATATATCAGTACCAGACACCTTATCTACTGTATGATACTTGACTAGAGTGCATGTAAATGTTAGAGCAGCATTATTATAGTTTCATTCGTCTATTATATTAATGAAGTATTCTAAATCTCTTAAGAATATGCCTAAATATGTACATGAAGTGATCTCAGCAATTCAAATGTCACTGAATAATATACTTTCACATAGCATTCCTTCTCAGAAGAATCCATGCAGTTCTTTTTGCTCTTGTTATCCTTCGCTTCCTTCCATAATGACAGTTGATATGATGGTAGATTGTACAGGAGCCAACTTCAGGCAGATGAGACAGGTTTGCAAGTTCTGACTGGGCACATGTACATGTATTGATGAAAGTTCGTGTGAGTGTTTTTAGAGCAGCCGTGTTTTTATGCTTACAGAATATTATGTTCAGACTGAAGTGCGATAAACGTCGTCTTTTAAAACCTTATCTGATGAATTGTTAGTTAAAATTAACAACATTTTGAAAGTTATATATGATGGTTTTGGTTATATAACATTTGTGCATGCATTTATATCGGTTGTATTTTATTCCTAATTTTTATTTATGTAGTTATAAGTGAAATGATGATATATATGTTATCAGCGAATGTTTTAAAATATTTATTGTAGTTTTAAGTATTTCCTTTCGCAATACAAGAACATGGATATTTCGATTGACAACCCATGTCAGTAAATTAATTGGTGTTGGGCGCTTTATATAACTCATATTTCTGTTCAAGTTCTTTTTTTGCGTCTTCGAAAGTAACGCTCTTCCAATCTTCAGGGATGTCTGGTTCTTCGACATTGTAGTATTCTGCTAATTCTTTGGAGAAGTACACCATGAACCACTTAAAATACTTTAATGCTTCATATTGACGTAATTCATCAGGAGCAATTACCCAGGATTTATAATAATCATTCACTGACTGATAATCTTTGAATGGAATAAATTCCGATGTATCACGGTTTTTGAACTTGGCTTTTCTTGCCACATCCGTTGTGCAGATTTCGGTGACTAGTTTACGTGAGGAAGTATAGAAATAACCACGTATTCCCCCCGGACGATGAACGCGCGTAGCGTGTGTGTTGTTTTCTTCCATGCCTTCATGATTTTTAGGATCTATGTCACACAAAACTCCGCAAAAAGGACAAACACATTGACAACCAATCGTTTCGTTTATCAAGATATCACTCGGCGATGGATTCAATAATTTAATATCTTCACGATTTAACCCGTCGTTAATCAGGGTGTTTGCCAAATCATTCACCTTGTTTATAACGTCTTTCTTGTACACTTCGATATCTTCCAGATCATTAATTTCAACTAATGCAAACGTTTCATTCTTTATAACGAGTGTTTTACACTGTTCCACAAAACGTTGAATCCAAGAGGTTAGTTTCTTGTTTTCACTCTCTGTTTCTTTGTTGGCAGTTGAAATAGCTTGGAGAACTTCGCTTTCTATCTCCCTGATTTTTCCTTTGAAAACAGATCTTTTTTCAGGCTTGGAATTGTCCTCCATTTTTTTCGAATCGTTGAGACAAAATTTTTCAGCCAAAACTTTCAGCCTCATACTTAGAAAGTCAACTGGATCCGCAAGATAATGTTTGTACGATTCAAATTTTTTTCCCTCTCCAAGTTCAATGAGAGCTTTTGCATGAAATTGACCTTTGCGTTTGTATGCGCTTTCATCTGACATTAATTTGCTTGCAATTGCCCCACCCAAGGTGCTGTTCAACGCTGATTTAAATGGAGTTTTAAGGGCTTTAACGAACGATGCAGCAGCTAATTTTTCTTTTTCCGTCTCCTTGCAAGCATTTTCAAAATATTTTTCAAACTCTGGTCGCACATTTTTTTCCAGCTCAGCTCTAATATCCTGTTGTTGAATAAAGCGTTCTTCCATTTCATCAAAAATTTCATACGACTCAGAAAAAACATGCAGCAAGATATCACATTTCAATGATTCTTGTGGTTTGCTGGATTCAAAACCAGATTTGTTTGTTTCTTCGTCAATGGTGGTGATCACTATGTGATACATTTGTGTCAGGTTATTGGGTGTGCATCTTGCCCCTGACCCCAATGCTTTCTTCGCAAATTTTAGTGCCTTTGATTTTGCAATATATTTAATTCTTCTGTCTTCTGGATGCCATGGCTTTCTTTTCTTTCCTAGAAGGTAACCCCACGCTGATTCGAGAATACTCGTTGATGCATCACTATCATCAATTATTACGATGTTGTAATTTTGTTTTTCTAATTTCTTTCTCATTTTCGCATTCAGGGTGGGATTTGTGTTGCAAAGAACATTCACCATTTCATTATTAACGTCATTTTTCTTTTCTTTATGTTTGGGAACGCCTACAATCCATTCTTCCCACTCTTGTTCGAATTTCGCTTTTAATTTTTCCTCATCGTCAATAACAGCAGCAGTTGACGTTATGAAGCTCCTGGCTTTTTCTAGGAACTCCTTTTTATGAGTTTGTTTTCTTTCCTCTACATTTTGTAAGTTCTGCAAAAAGTTGAAAGTTGATTCGCAATTTCGTCGAACCTGTCGCACTTGAATTTCTTTTTGTTCTGTTATTCTATTCATAATGTTTTCCCTCCATTGTTCAAGAATTGCCTTGTCCTGGTCGGTTTGAAAAAAATCATTCATCGCTTCCTTCATCTTATCTCCAAATTTCTCCGCTTCTTGAAGAATTTCTATTTCCTTTCTTTCCCATTCCTTGACAAGCTCCTCTTGTGTTGAACATCTTTTTAAAGCCACTTCAATTTCCGTTTGAAGTTCGCCCATTTTTATCACCATCAACTTCACTGATTCATTGAAATATTTGCGGTCCAGTGACCTAAAAGCCCTGACCTCTATCACGTTACGGAAGCTAAATATAAAATTTTCTCTTAACATGGATTCCCAGAGCTTGCAGACCCTATCTTGAAACTGGGAAAAAGAAATTTTTAAACATTTTTCTGAATACATCAAGTTGATGATGGTTTCTTTTACTCTTTGAACCGCTCTTCCATAGTCCGGGTTCACTGGAGCCATTGGTGGACTTCTTTGTAGAAGACTTGGTATATAAAACACGTCTTCATGTTCATCAAATGAAATTATGTCGTCAATTTTTTTATACTTTGCTCCACAATTTTCTTCCGTTGCAGCAAGCTCTGTCATTTTGTCGAGATCGTTCTTTAGTTCAGAACGTCTGCTGGACAATATGTTTTTTGCGTCAGTGGCTGCAACATTTTGGTGGACAATTTTGCAAGACATCTTTCTTTCTTCAACGAGATTCATCTTCAAGAACGCATGGACGGCTATTTCTAAAAATCCCTTTATTTCATGGTAGCTTTCACCCATAATATTTACAATGGTCACATCAGCAACACCAATTGCGAAAGTCGCCATTTGGTTGTCATGTATTCGTATCTCAGGATCTGCGGATCCTTCAAGACCTTCCGTATTAATGATCAAAACATAATCAAATCCAGAATCAGACTTGAGTGAATCACTGACAGGAAGAAGATTAGCAAAAGCTCCACGCTTACACCTTACTGCTCTGACTGGAAATTCAAGACCGAACATCCTGTTCAAAAGTGTTGACTTTCCCGAGATTTGAATTCCCATAATTGAAATCACAAACGTTTTGGCTTTGTTCGTTTTTTCGTCTAGTTTAGTAAACACAGCTTTAAACCACTCCAGTGGAATATAAAAGGAATCACCATACAGTATCTCAAGAGGTTGCCCTGAAAGCAACATGTCTGCTGCAGCACCTGCGTAATCGTATTTGCTTTCTTCAATTTGGTAAAGCTGAGCAAGTTCTCTGATGATGTGTTCTAAACCAAACGAGTATTTTGAGATTGTATCTTCCAAATCTTTCAAATGTTTCTCTTCAGGCGATTCTTTATCGGACTTAGGACTCATTTCTTCTTTCTTCCGAAGTTCCCTCTTTGCTATTTCATAGTCTTCTCGCAATTTAGTCGTGATCTGCAGAGACGTTTTATCCAAATAATGTTTTAAATTATTCACGGTGTAATTTCGCTCAATTTCATTCATCGTTGCAAGACTATTAAGACTATTAAGAATTCCTTCGTCCAATGTTTTGAGGGTTTCCTTTTGAGCTATCTTCTCTCTTTCGATATTTTTATCAATTTTATCCACATCTTCATTTACGTTCTCACTTTTTTCGGATTTGCTGCTCAAAAATTTGGGACAGTATCTTTCACGTATCAACTTAGCCAATACTGGGATGTGCTTTTGCAATTTTAGAAGGTCTTTGACTTTTTCTATTTCCAGTTTTAACCAACTGCCAAATTTCATTTCAAACTCTAGACGTAATTCATGCGAATCATCGTCACTCATTTGGTGGGCATTAATGCCAGCACGAATACAATCTTTTCCACTTGTGTTGTCAGGGTCGTTATCATCTTGTTTTGCACGTATCTGGTCCAAGTTGGAAACTTCTTGTGCAAGAGTTTTGTCAAGGTCCTGGTTTCTTCGAGATGCCAGCATCACAAGAGGTGATGATTCCTTTCTATTTACATTTACCTGAATTTTTTGACGTATACTCAGGAGAAATCGATGATAATTTTGCTTTTTTGCACTCGTTATCGAGGACAACTCATTTTTTCTACTTTTGAGATCGTTAAAATACTTCATTGCATTTGTTTGTCGTATCTTTTCGTTGAAGATAAGTGTGACTTTTCCATTAAAATTGGTAATGGAAAATATCGCTTCTTCCAAAAATTTAATCGGAATGGTTTCGCCTGTTTTTTCTCCATATTCAGAAGGTAATAAGATAAATATTATGGATGAGATTGCTGAGAGTAGGTCAAGTTGCTTTTTAAAATATCTCGCGTCTCCCCGAAGATTCGCAAAACAAATTTCATTTTGTAAAGTTTGTTTCTCACTTCCACTAGGAAGAAACCAGCTGACTTCAACCAATCCATCGACAACTTTTCTTTTAACGTGACCACCTCTCATCTTTTTGTTAAAAAAGAAGTTATGGGTGCTCTCTCCGTCACTCATGATTTCGTTAATCAACGATGATTTCGACATTGTAGGTTTGCCAATACGGATGAAAGAAACCACTGGAAATGGATGTTCTGTCGCGAACACTAGTTTTGTGTCTGTCCCATCCTTCCAGCATTTAGTGATGCTTTCTAACGCTGAGAGCAGAATTGTGACATTTTCAGAAGGTGCTGTGGGGTCTGGCAGGAGAAATGGAACACTGAGTTGACACGCAGATAATTTATTGACAATATAACGTCGCAAAGTGTCATCCGATCCATGAAATATGCCAAGCATCGCATCCATCGGATTGACAGATTCATCGTCCCAATTATCGGAATCGTCACTGCATTCGGAAGAGTCTTCGGTTTCATAAAGATTAGAAGGTAATGGTTTCAATTCAAATTCTCGTACGTGGTAATTAGCTATCATCAGCATTTTAAAAATGTAATCAGGTATTTTATCTTCGGACGTCAATTTTTCAGGTCTTAGTATATCGCTACGGACTGTTCGTGCTTTCTGTAAAGTAAACTTTGAAACAGGTTTTACAATAAGATCATGAAAAAATTTCGTTTCCGCTATTTTTTGTCTTCGGGTTTTTTTAAATTCGTCTGTACTTATTTCATCCACCCTTCCTCTTAGAATGACTTCCCAGAGATTGCAAATCTTCTCTCGAAACTGACTGATGGAATATTTATACATTTCTTTTGAACACATCAAAGTTACGACGTTTTCTTTAATTCGTTGAACAGCTCTTCCGTATTCTGGACGTCTTTGAGCCATTGGTGAGTTACCTTGGTAAAGGCTTGGGATGTAAAACACATCTTCGTTTGCATCGAATGATACAACTTCATTGAAATATTGAAATTGTTCTACACAGTTTTCTTGAGTGGCAGCTAGCTTAGTCATTCTATCCAGATCTTGGTTTAGGTTACGTCGGACATCGTCAATTTTTTCTCGTTCCTCGGCCGCTTCGAAATTTTGATGAACAATTTTGCAAGATTTCTTTTCTGTGAGAAGTTTCATTCTTAAGAAAGCATGTACAGTTTTATCTAAAAATTGTGTGATTTCGTCACGACTTATACCGAAGATATTCACTATGGTTAAATCGGCAGCTCCGATAACAAACATTCCCAACTCATTCTCGTGATTCCTTGATCCCCTAAAACCTTCGCTGTCGAGGATCAAAACATATTCAAGACTTGAATTGCACTTTGTGGAATCACTGACAGGAAGAAGACTGGCAAAAACACCGCGAGTACATCTACCAGCACTGACTGGAAATTCCAAACCAAACATTGTGTTTAACATTGTTGATTTACCTGAACTTTTAATTCCTAAAACAGAAATAACAAAAATTTTGGCGTTCTTTGTTTTACTCTCTAGTTCACGATATACTCCGTTGAACCACTCCAGTGGAATGTAAAAGGAATCACCATCGAGTATCTCAAGAGGTTGTCCTGAAAGCAACATGTCTGCTGCAGCACCTGCATAGTCGTATTTACATTCTTCAATCTCGTAAAGCTGAGCAAGTTCTCTGATGATGTGTTCTAAACCAAACGAATGTGTTGTGATTGATTCTTCCAACTGCTGTAAATGTTTCCACACTTGCGCTTGTTTGTCTCGATTTTTGAGCAAAGCTAGACGATATTCTTGATGTAATTCTGGCATGACCTGTAGGGACATCTTGTTTAATTCATGCTTCATTTTATTCAAAGTGCAATTTCGTTCCGTTGTATTCATTTCTGCAATGGAATTTAGAAAATGAACAATTCGTTCATCCAGGTGCGCAAACGATTGTTTTTGAGCCGTCTTTACTTCTTCAATGGCTTTGTAGATTTTGTCAATATCTCGTCCTATATGGTCGGTTCTACCATCGTGATTTGAAAAATATTTTTCGCGTTCCAGATCAGCTAACGCTGGGACATGCATTTGCAATTTTAGACGAATTTTAGCTTCTTTGATCCCCATTCCTAGCCATGAATCTACGGTCTTCCTCAAAGTAAAATGCGATTCATTTCCATCAAGGTGGAAGCCAAATTTCTTTGCACAGGATTCAAGCTCAGTAAGTGGCGTTGGTTTTACTTCATGTATCTTCTTCTGAATATTTATTCGCATTTTTTGAATGAAATAGTCTTCATCAAATTTCTTGGTGTTCGTTAACAGAGACATTTTTCCACGGTGGTTGATTTTCATATCGTCAAAATACTTTTCTACTGAGTCCAAACATCTTATTTCATTGAATAGAAGAATGATATTTGCTGGAGAGTATGTTGCCTCTTTCAAAATTTCTGTTATGGTTTGGTCTTGATAATTAGAAGGTAGCAAAATACATAAGACGGACGAGATCTTCAAAATAAGACGAAACTGCTTTTTAAAAACTCTCGCGTCTCCTCGAAGATTTACAAAACAAATGTCTGTTTCTAATGTTTGTTTCTCGCGCCCTCCTGGAAGATACCAGCTCAATTCAACACAACCGTCAACGATTTTTCTGTAAACATCAGGATCTTTGACATCGTTGTGGAAAAAAAAGTCGTGATGCTCGTTTCCGTCGCTCATGATTTTGTTAATCAAGGATGACTTTGACATGGTAATATCGCCAATTCGAATGAAAGAAACCACTGGAAATGGATGTTCCGTGGCGAACACTTCTTGTGTTCTTTTCTTGTCATTCGAGGCATCACTGCGACAAAACTTTGTGATGTTCTCCAAGGCCCTGAGCAAAATTGTGACTTTCTCTGTAGGCGCCTCAGGATGGGGCAAGAGAAACGGAACACTAAGTTGACATTCATCCAACTTTAAAGCTAAATGTTGTCGTAAACATTCATCGGAGAGGTGAAAAAGCAATAACAGTGCATCCATTGGGTTCACACGTTCTTGTTCATCATCGCTGTCATCAGAACCATAAGCATCTTTAGTTTTAATTTTACTTGATTTTAAAGGTTTAACTTTAAATTCTCGTGCACGATAATCACCTATCATTAATTTGTTTAAAATATATTTCGGTATTTGATCGGTGCATGTTAATTCTTTGTCGGTTAGTGTGTGATTATCAATTGTTCGTGCTTCCCTTAAAGTATATTTGGGGAGACACTGTACACTCGAATCGTCATCCGAAGAGTACAGACTTTCTGAGCTGCTGCTGTCTTTATTCTCATCCATTTCAGTCTCCATTGACACCTTGGCTAGACGTTTCTACCAGTTAACGAGACTCTACACAATTAAAACTTATATATTTATATACATATATATTGGAACAATCATGTATAGGAATTAAGAATCGGTCATGCACACAGCATATAGCTACTGTGCTATTTGGCAATTTCCTTTGGCTCGGTAACTGCATGCATGATTAGTATTGTTGATTTTTCACTTTCTGGCCCTGATCATTCCTTTTAGCTTTTTCACCCTTAATTATTCTGCGTAAAATTAAGACGCTATTACGTAAAGGTAGGTACAACAAATATATTGAATAATTTACCATTAAACAATACCATTCTTCTGTGAATTTTGCAATAGTCGATCTGTCTTTCAACCCTAAAGTATTTGGAAGAATCTTAGGGTTCCATTGGCGATGATTTCACTAATTCCTGCTATAGACTATATATAGTCCATTACTCGGCCATTTTATCTCTCTCTATATATTTAGCATGATGTAAAGTGCACATATATTCCGCGCAGCAACACATTGCATTCGGGGGGAACAACTTTTGGAATGTTAATGATATGCGATATTAGCGCGTTGTAAAAAAGCAATATTATGCTGAGAGGAATGCTTCATGAATTTATTTGTTGAATGAGGACACGACATGGCGACGCTATTTGCCGTCGCTACTTTCTCGCTTGTCCTACAATTACAAATATATAAAGTTTTAAATAACGGTTTATTTACAAGCTTCGCTTTATATTTTCTTCAAAATATAATATAAAATAAGCATATTCATCACAGCCTGTCGAGCGACATGGCTCTTCTACAAGCCAGGCTTTTCTACCTAGGTTAAGGCTGGTCATGTGATTCTTTTGTTACGCTTCTCCCGTGTGGGGATGGGTGGGACACAAGTAGGATAAATCACATTAGTTAAAACAGCGTGTTTCTAAGGCCTGAATATCGAGTGCTGTTGTACTGCAAAGCGAAATAACCTGTGTCGTTATTGTTATTTGACCTCTAAATTCGCTCATCAACGCCCAAATTAAGAAGGTAGCACAGGCCTTCGAGTGTCTGTATTGAATATCAACAGAACTTGTGACGATACTAAAACTGATTCTATCGACGATGATACAGTCTTCACACATACTTTGAATCTAAATTCGGTTTATTGTTCTTTGGAGTTTTCTGCTGCGCCATACTAGCTGTATTTATTTAATTTATTGAGTGAACCGTTATTTTTAGTTGCAGCATAGGAAGCCCAGACTTTGACTTGCGCGTGTGATACTCGCGCGCGTGTCGCGCTTACGTTGTTTACTTCGTCTATATACTATGGTTGCGGCAGTACAAAGCCACCTGGACTGTCACAAGTGCTAAAAATATGAACTAAGCGCTAATTAAAAATCTCCCATATTTTGAAAGATTTTGCGCTCTCACATGACCAGCCTTAACCAGGGTCTTCGCCGCAGCGTGGGCCGTGGAGCGGAGGTAGAAGAGCCTGGCTTGCGAGGTAGCGAGTATTAAAACGACGCATACGTCATGTAAAGATTATATAACAAACGTAAACAAACATTGTTATGCGCAGAATATATGCGCAGAACGGACTTAACATCATCTTTAAAGTTATAATATAAAAAAAAATTATATAAGCAGATATAATCTGAAAAATATTTAGCACCAATACTGCAGGGTTGATATTTAGGCCTTATTTACTGGTATCTGGATTCGTTTGTATCCACCGACTTTTTGTTGTGCGTATACGCTATCGTAAACTTTTGAAAACGGAGCAAATATTGGAAACTTGTAAACGCAACGAATCCGGATATGTGAAGATGCCTGTAGCCGTTATTTATTATTAAGATTTCAGTATTGATCGCATTAAAAGCTGCAATACAAAACGTTGAAGATAAAGATCAATTTATACTTAACTTTGATTCAATAGCAAGTTTTTATAACTAAATGCATGCAAGCTCTATAATGCAAGCAATGTTTAACACGGTATATAATATTGCATAGGCGTTGATAGCAACTGATATTTACCTACTTTTTTAATCTGGCCCAATTTACACCTGAAAGTTCATCGTCTATGGCGAATAAAGAAACTCGTAGAAACCTCAGCGAATTTTATACAGGGTTATAACAGCATATGAGGAGCGCAATCTTGGTCGAAAATGTAATGTTGCCGTGTGTTTATTTCAAATTGAATGATAATTTGAAATATTTTCAACAAAAGATATAAACGATCCATGACTTTGCTCATTGTTAATAGTGAAAGCTGCTTTACTTTGCCAACGGGGTATCGGTTTCCAGCAAGGAAAGGAATTAAATAAAGTTTTAATACGTTTGGGGAATAAAATTCGAAGTTATATAAACTCTAGGCATTCTTAAAATCATCAAAATATTGATATATAAAGCTCATATAAAAAATATATAATATATATCAAGGAAAGCAACATTATATTAGATAATTTGATGAAGGTATTGTTGCGTAACGACAGGGCATTCAATCGCCTGGCACGAGGTTGAATCTAAACAGTTGTGTGACGTATGTGCAGTGACCTCTAAGTAGACTGGAAGATAACTCCAGTGTGATTGGATGAAGCCTAATTGAATTCGATTCGCAGAGCTTTACCGTCCCGATGAAAACGTCGCTCTTAAGGCACTTTTAAGGAACGGTGGATCCAAATTCAATAAAAACACGTCCGAAAGCCGTACAAAAGGGCACCGTACTAAACCATTTATCGTTCCCATTCCCCTCGAGTTCTCGAGTTCATTAATGTGGTGCAATCTCGTTCCCTGAGCCTGCGATTTCTGAAACTCTGGCTCTGGAATAATCGATATTAGAAGTGATTCTGATTGGTCGTTCACGCCGTATAGAATGTTTTAATACAATTCATAAATTAGCCAGAAACCCGGTGGTTGCAATAAAGCGGTTATTCACTGTGTTCCTCTTTTTCACTAGGGGATTAAATTGGTTGCCGCGAAGTGACACGAAAAACCAATTTCTGCCCTGTTGTTGGTTAAATGAATACAAGTCATTAAAAATTTCGCTATCCAGTGTATAATATTAAGTCAGGACTCACGAAAATACGATATATATTATATATATTCGTATATCACAAGATAATACATAACATTAACAGTGCAAATGGAGTATATATTGTATATTTAGAATTATAACGTCTTGAACTGGTTACATTATTATACTTATTATTTCTTAAACTAGACAACAACCATGCTATAGAAACGATTAAGGTCATTTTTGGGAAAAGTAGAAATATCAGAATGGTTTCGCGATATGTTGAAAATATATATGTTTTTTCTAGCCTGCATGTAGGCATGTACTGTATTTTCTTTCAATCGAACTTTGCCTTTAAGATTTTCTTGCAACAAAATTGCAGAGTAAAACGTTGAAAAGTTTTTGGGTTATTTTTTTCAATCAAAGTCATTGAATTTGCTATCAAATGGCTCTATGATCTTGTCAGCAAAAACCTACAAAATCAAAAAACTCTTTGAAAAGAAGATATTCTGAAAATGATACACTTTCCACATCATTCATCCAATCACACGATCAACAAATGTGGACCAAGTGGCCACCTATTTTTGCCAGTGATGAGGCTTTTGGACATGCGTTAAAAGCATCTTTATAGTTTGCAAATTCTTGTATCCCGTGATCATATTAAAGATTGAAGATGACGCTCTTCACTTTAATCCTTTTTGCTTTTATTGTTCAAACTTCTCGTATTTCGCGTTTTTCGTAGAAAACGTTTCCCATTATTATCATTTCAGTGTTGTAGTTTGTTGTACTCGATCAAGTCCACTGTCCAGCAATGCAAGTTAATTTTATGCCGGGATCCCAACAGACAGTAATTTAGGTTATTTGACTTCGAAGAACCGGTAATTGCCGTTCTTCTAACGTCATAATGTATTTTGTAGTAATCCTTGGGAATCTCAAATCTCACGGCACAACCACGTTGTCAATGTCTATGAAATCGCCTTGCAAGATCTAATTTCTATCCACAATTACTTTAGTTCAAGGTGTTCTTCAATGCTTGATGATCATCGCCTTTCATCCCCTGTTAAACCTTTTGAGAATACAGTTCTAGTTGAATTGAGATTTGTTCTTGGCATTTTTTCTTTACTTTAAGATTTCTCGAAGATTGGTCCACCACTTGACAAAGATAGTTAAAACTAAATCCACATGTTCTATTTCGCGGATAATAATGTGTTTAGAAAATCATTTTCAAAATATTCTCTAACACGAACTTTAATTCTTAGGTTCCATGTTGTAATATTTAAAACGCGACACTGTCACTAAATTTCATAATATTTTTAAACAGGTACCGAATAATGATGATTCATAAGACTTGAGAGAAAATTCCAATGATGTACAACACAATGGTTGATTATAACCTACTGAAAAAATTGCAATTTCTCAACAGATTTTCAACATACCACGTGCCATGATGCATGAGATGATATCAGTACCAGACACCATATCTACTGTATGATACTTGGCTAGAGTGCATGTAAATGTTAGAGCAGCATTATTATAGTTTCATTCGTCTATTCTATAATGAAGTATTCTAAATCTCTTAAGAATATGCCTAAATACGGAAGTGATCTCAGCAATTCAAATGTCACTGAATAATATACTTTAACTTAGCATTCCTTCTCAGAAGAATCCGTGCAGTTCTTTTTGCTCTTGTTATCCTTCGCTTCCTTCCATAATGACAGTTGATATGATGGTAGATTGTACAGGAGCCAACTTCAGACAGATGATCGAGACAGGTTTGCAAGTTCTGACCAAGCACATGTACATGTATTGATAAAAGTTCACGTGAGTGTTTTTACTTTTTTAGATTTTTATAGCAGCTGTGTTTTTATTATGTTCAGACTGAAGTGCGATAAACGTCGTCTTTTAAGACCTTATCTGATGATTGTTAGTTAGAATTAACAACATTTTCAAAGTTATATATGATGGTTTTGGTTATATAACATTTGTGCATGTAGTTATATCGGTTGTATTTTATTCCTAATTTTTATTTATGTATAGCTATAGGTGAAATGATGATATATATGTTATCAGCGAACGTTTTAAAATATTTATTGTAGCTTTAAATATTTCCTTTTGATAATATAAGAACATGGATATTTCGATTGACAACCCATGTCAGTAAATTTGGTTTGTGTTGTGCGCTTTATAAATTGTATTTCTGTTCAAGTTCTTCTTTTGCGTCTTCGAAAGTAACGCTCTTCCATTTTTTAGGGATGTCTGGTTCTTCGGCATTGTAGTATTCTGCTAATTCTTTCGAGAAGTGCACCATGAACCACTTGAAATACTTCAATGCTTCATATTCAAGTAATTTATTGGGTTCAATTGCCCAGGATT